TCTCAAAATCTCACGGGGCGAAATCTCGTTCAAGATCTTATTTAAGTAAAAAGTGGCAGTATTTTGACTCGAAGCGATAGTGAAAATACTGCCCTTCGAAATTCCAGAGTTGAATGTTTCAATCGAGCTTAGAGTGAGACTCTAATTCCACATGAGCGAGTGAAACTTCAGTTGATCGGAGTGAATATGTTCCTGTAACAGTGGAGTACGTCAGATTCATTCTTCAATTTCGAGTGAAAATATTCATTTGACGATTCAAAGTGAATTCACTCCAAATGAATAAAAGGTCACTCGGAATCAAGTAACTCGGTGGTCGCTCTATTTTTTAAGTGAGATTTCACTCCAAGAAATTTAGAGAGTAGCTAAGTGAAATTCGGAGATTTCGCGATTTTAGTTTGTGCGAAAACCGATTAATTAATATTTCAATTAAATATCCAATCAGAGCGCGCAACTAACAGTGAGACTCAAGGAACACCGTCTTTCCACAGTTTCAACGATCGATTCCTGACTGCTGGTAGTATATTTCGCTTAAAACCCCCTGTAGTAATAAAACTCCCTTTCGCTCTCTCTCGGTAACCTAATGAAGGGTCGATTAATTCCAAGCGGTTCACTATCCCCCAAGCACGCGTGGCCTTGACGGTTCCCGTAGCGATAAAATTACGTTTCGCCTTCTTGGGAATCTGATGAAGAGGCGATTACTCTTAGGCGATCCACTGACCCTAACCCGAATATATTTCCCTTCGCACATCCCGCGATAATAAAATTACATTCCGTCTTCGTCTCGCGAATATCGGGAAACCCGGTGTAGCGCGATTACTTCCAAACGATCCGTCCGATCAACCGCGATGAATCGACAGAATATCCCCGAGATGTCGGAGGAAAGGAGAGAGAGAGAGAGAGAGAAAGAGAGAGAGAGAGAGAGAGAGAGAGGGAGGGAGGGAGGAAGAAGGGAGAGAGAGAGTCCAGAAACTCGATAATCAATTTGCATTCAATAATCCTCGATCGTTAAGACGGATGTATTCGGTATCTCGGCGGGACCAGAACTACCGGGCCGGAAATCGGCATGCGGATTAGACGCTTTGTCGTACGAGGCGAGGCGAGCGAGCGTGGCCTCGATCTGCTGGTCCAGGATTCCGGTTTGCTTATGAATGGTTCATGTGCCAAGTTAACGCGCGCCCACGTACGTACGTACATATCTGCGCTCTGCGCGTGCATTCAGCCGCGCATGAATGTTTTACCCAACTGCGGAAATTACGGGAAACGCCCTGACGATCGAGTACAAGCGCGAGCCTCGGAGGATCCGAAGATCTCAGTGTCTAAAGATCCATGTCTAATGACATGAGAATTATAAATATTCAAGAATTCGAAGAGCCGAGAACTTCAAAGATCCGGTAACCCGCGGATGCAATGATTCAGAGACGTTAACATGTGCGTACGTTAATGTAATAATAAGTAAAAATTTTCAGTAAAATATCAATAAAAAAACAATATAATAATTAGATGTACATGTTAAAAAAGATATAATGATTATTTTAAAGTGATATGTTTTTCATTGCTTCGAGGTTTCGGAGTGTAGAGTTTTTCTTTTCACGCAATAACGTAAAAAATTGTTAAATATAAAGCAATCAAAAATTAAATATATTTACAAGTACTTTTTTGTTTCTTAATAGTCTCTATATTCATTTTATATAGTATGGTAAGAATTAATTAAAATATGTTACTTAAATGAGTTATTTGCAGCATCATTATGACAATTTTCAATGTAAAGCGGAGTGTCCCGCTAATGTTGCCACATAATTGGCATTGCAGAGCGCAAAAGGTTAAATTATTTATATCAATTATGATTAATGTAAAGTGCCCGAGAATGTTCATCGGGGCTGAATTGAATTGGAAAAATAACGCACCCCGAGGGAAAGAGATGGGATATAAAAAATTTCCAATACTCACATATATCCTATAGATACATTTCGCGATTATTTAATAACCTGCATATGAAAACCTGTGTCGTATGAAAAATACATGATATTGCAAATGTAATGAATATGACCGATTAAATTGATAATATAAAGGGCCATGTCCCCGTTATTACCTTGTGTGTCATATAGATATACGATAATTAATGAATAACAAATGTACGCGATAATAGAAATCGCTCTTATCACTTTGATATTTGCAAAATAAAAGTAATAAGCGATTCATTGCACGGAGGGGCCGATATTTCAACGGTATCTTGCCAACCCAATCCAACTTCGCGTTACATGCACGTAAATGTAAAAAAGACGTACATACTCGCTTACTTGGAAAATGTAATCTGTTGCAGCTCGACGTAAATGGGCATCTCGGGGCCAAGTCGTCTCCATTCTGGCTGTCCTCGGCTGCAGGGGATAAAACATTCGATCGTCGCTCGTTCGCTCGCTATTTCGCGCCATTTTCACCGAAAAACTTCGCGCTCGTCCTACTCGTCGTAAACATTCGAGACCGAAATGGCGTCTCCGACAACGGCTCGGCGATCTTCGATTTATCTCCGATCGTATGACTATTTCACAAGAAAATGGAGGAAATAAAATAATGGAGAAAAGAAACGAAACCTTATCATCGTCTTTAAAGAAGTACAAAAGATAGCGAATTTATATTCTCAAATTTTATGAAACATACATATTTCTTAATGCGCAGATTTTGGCTCGACTATTCGTTTGAATGTATCTCACATACATAGAAAAAATATATACGCGTTTGTACTTACTTGAGAGGCTCGCATAGCTCGATCAAAATCGACGACATTCACGAAGAAAATCGCCAAATCGCGAGCCACTCGCAAATCGAATTATAGCCCCACAGCTTCGCCTTCTTGCTCGTTTTCAATTTGACGAGGAATAAAACTCGTAACGAGAAGTACTTTCGTATTTTAGGACGATTTTAATCGCGGTACTTTTTGCGCGGCCGTTTCCTCTCGAATTGCCGAATGTAAATGGCGTCTCGGTAACATTCGGCTACCTTCGATGCGCCTCGGGTCGTACGACTACGTACCAAATGGAAACAACAATTAGAAAAAGACAAAATATTTTTATTGTCTTTAAAGAATAGTGGAATTGCCCTTCAATTTTTATAAAATGTGAGCATTTTTAATGCGCACAAATTTCGACCCGACCATACGTTTGACTTTCTGTACGTACAAAAGAAAGTACATATACAATGTCTACTCACTTGCTCTCGCATCTCAATGCGAATTAGCGACTTTCGTGATCGCTATTGTCAAACTGCGAGTCACCAGCGAGTCGAATTATGATTCCATAGACTTCTCTTTTCAATCTCCTCTGGTTTAACAAGAAACAGAACTAGGATCGAGAAATAAGTTTGCGTTTTCGCATGATTCGATCGCAGCGTTTTTTGTGCGTCCATCTCGGACCGACGAATCGACTTCGAATGGCGTCTTAACAACGCCCAGCTAACTTTAGTTTGAATCTAGAAAGAATTGAATTTTTTAGGTTGAACGATATATTAGCTATCTTCGCATCGTTCGGAATCAAATAAAAATCTCTAAATATGAATTTAATTCCTTTTTCATTTTTTAAACAATGCATGAAACTGGCAATTTTTGCATTAAATACAAGGTTTTTGATTCACGTAAATTGGATCAACATTTCGTTTTGATGCGAATTTTCATTAATTCACGTTTAATGAAAAGCTTATTCGATACATATACGTATAGACAAGTTACGGAACATTATTGATCCTCTACTTTAAAATCTTTGAACTGTAATTCGGAACATAAAGTCGGGCGGAAATGCTTCAAAATATACGTGAGCTCATAAAAATATATCATAATTGCTCTTAAATTTGATTGTTCTTGATATACAGATTTCGAAGTGCAGATAGGTTATGGTTGTATGCCAGGAGGAAAAGATAGAAAAGAATGACATGATACATTCTATTTAATTGCACTTTCACTTTTAGTTTCTTTGTATTATTCTCTGTATTAATCTTATTCGTTTGAAACATAGAAAACGCTATGAGATACAAATAAAAGTAAAAATAATTCTGTGTACACAACACACGCTTACTTGATCGATGAACTTAACCTCTTGTAAGCTACTGTGAATCGAGTCAGCATTGAATCTGCAGATTCTCGTTTTTGTTTCTTACTAACCTTAACTTGTCAAAGAATACAGAATTCGACCGTTACACAAGCTCGTATTTTCCCTACGAACATGTCCTATCGTGTTTTTCGCGTCCGCCCGTATTTGGCGGCTCGCGTTTCGTTCGGTTACTTTCGGCGTCCTCCGGCGTCCTTCGACGAATAACCCATTGGTCGAAAAAATAGTCTACGTGATATGACAACGTTGTAAGGTGCACGACGATGTCACATGACAACGAAAATTACGCAAAATAAAAGAATGGACTCAAAAAGAAACGCACGAAAAGAACGATATGTTCGTAGTAACTTTTTCGTGTGAAGTCCGGGAATACCTTATCACGGAAGACTATTTGACTTATCACTTTTGTAGAAATCTAGATTACAAACCTCGGAGTTTCCGAAAGCTACGTATAACGAGACAAAACGAAACGAAATCTAGATTAGATGCCAAAAAAGGAAGCCCAAAATAAATTATAAAATTGATCATAAATTGCCGATTAAAACGTCAAGCATTCAAAGATTCAATGATAAGAAGTCAGTTATCGGACTGGAATTCAGGCCATGTGCCGAATGTGCATGAAAATAAGCCCATATGTAATCGTGACGATGAAAACGACGATTGAGGTTAGATGCATTCCGCGTTAGACGTTCCGGTTACTTCGGTATTGTTCTTACAAGTTCTCTTTTCCTGTTTTAAAGGTGTCAAGATCGAATTCAGATCATATGAGAACAGCAATCGACAGGTATTTGGCCAGAATTTACACCATACTTGTTGAGAGAGAACTTAAACTTCCCGCGAAAGGACCCTCGCGAATACAACATGGTGTGTCAGCGCCGCTCGTAGGTGTAACTTGTGGACGCCGTGGACAGGACAACATTGCCGACAAAAGGATTCGCGTTTGTCAGAATATTCTATTGACCATATAGATTTCAGTTTGTTGCACGTGATGAATCCTTGAGGACATCGATTGGGACAGGACGAGACATTTCATCTGTTCGACACGACGGAAACCGAGGGCCATTTTGGTAATTGCATAGGACGTACACTGGCGAAAAATGTCACAGGACGACGTCGGATTTTTATACAAAACTATGAGTAAGTTGTAACATAATTTTTTAATAATTCGTGCTTCAGCAAAAGGTAATGAAACGTTGAGCCATTTGCAATGAATTGCTATAGTCGGTACTGTGAATTTTTGTGATTTACAAAAGTTTTATGAAAAACCATTAGTCAATAAAATGTATAAAATTGTGTGTCTATTTCTTTTTCATTTTGTAACGATATTTAAATCAGAATGCATTTTGTTTCACCGTGAAGTAGTCAAAGATGAATTGCAAATAATATATAATGTAATAATGACAAAATAAAATTAGTGAAATTTATGTATCGGCTTTTCTCCAATGAATATTAATATGTAAACATTATATTTATGTAATTTTTAAAGGAGTTTTATCTGTCAACAATTATTTTTGAATTGACCAATTTTATAATTGATACATACTTATCTGCCACCTTAAAATCAAGTTATACAGCTGTTCTTATTTTTACTACAATATTATTCTGATATTATTCGATATTATTATCATATTTGACATATTGTTATACAGTTACTGGAAGTTATTGATCAAGTGTTATAAATAATATCATTTAGCACATTTAACTAATGTGTATATTAAATATCCATTATTAAATATATAGCATTATATGAAATACTTACAACAATTAAATGTACTGCAAATCTATTGTATTCCTCTATTATTGTACATGTGATTTATTAGTTCCTATTATTATTATTATTATTATTGTAAACAATTTATTATTACTAAGTCTATATATGCCAACAACTGCTTTATGATAACAACCTAGTTTGTCATTTGTGAATACAATATTAACCATAACTGACTAGTTTATTATTATTATTGCAACCTCGTTACTGAGAAGCGTAAAATTAACCTAACATATTACCGGTAATACAGCTGCTCGCATGCATATGAGTGTATGTATGCATATGTGTGTGTATTTATGTGTTGCAAGGGACAGGCCTGATACATGTAACAGGAGACTTAGATATTGTGTGAATCTGTGTGGTGTATCAAAACAGTGATGAGAACTATAGAAAGATATTGATAATTCGTGTTGTTGAAACTACTCAGAATTTCAATTAAAAATACTAAAAAAATTGAAAACATCATGACTAGTCCATGTATGTTCAGGAGAATGAAGTAGACATAACCTATAATTATTTATACATTATATTTTGCACAGAAGGTTCAACCTAGTATATTTTTATTAACCAACGATAAACACTCTTATGTATTATTTGTTCATGTACAAATATATGGCAATAGATAGATAAGATAGTAAAGATAGATTTTTTCATGGAGCACCTGTAGCATATTATATCTGTGAGAAATCAAATTGTTACTTGCAGTTGAGAGGGACCCTAAAAAGAGGAAGGTGAAACCAGTTGAATCAGCACAGCAATCATTATTGGATTTTGACTTAGGTGAAAGTTCCGATGACAGTGACTTTAGAATTGAGGATCATTCGGAAGAATCTGATGACGATTCAGTAGATTCTAATGATGTTGGAAAAGGTGAGTTGTAGTACTAATAACTGTGATTGTTAAATTGTTCCATATATTAAGAATCTGCTATATTATATATATTATACATGCAGAAATAAGAAATATATGAATATTTGTTATAACTTTTAATGAAGAGATAAAGGAATTTATTTATATGTGTTTTATAAACGATAAAGAGTTGTACCAAGTATTTCTTACAGAAGAAGAAGCTGAATCTGAGGAATCTGATGATGATCTGCTTGAAGATCCATTATTGGGAGGAAAACACAATGCTAACTTGACTGTAGGAGATGTAATGGAACAAGCACGTCAACAAGCTTTAAAGAGCAGCATCTTCGAAGAAAAGCTAAATAAGTTATTAATTTGTTGTGGTTGTTTAGGAGACAGAAGTGATGATACAAATGAGATTGTTGAATGTGATGGTTGTGGAGTTAGTGTTCACGAAGGTACGTATCAAAATTCAAAATGTAAGGATTCGTTGAATTTTTGCTGATCATATATTTATAAGCAAATATCAAATTTTAGGTTGCTACGGTGTGTCTGACGTAGAAAGTTTCTCCAGCACCGATTCCTTATGTCAGTCAGCACCGTGGTTCTGTGAAGCCTGCAGCGCAGGTATCGAAGACCCATCATGCGAACTCTGTCCAAACAAGGGTGGAATTTTCAAGGAGACTGATGTTGGAAAATGGGTGCATCTAGTATGCGCTCTTTACGTACCTGGCGTTGCTTTTGGTGAAGTGAGTAAATCCTTTATAACGTGCGCCGTGTAATTTTATACATCATCTTGTAACTTCAGGTGGATCGGCTGACAAGTGTAACGCTATTCGAGATGCAGTACACCAAATGGGGCGCGAAGCAATGTTCTCTGTGCGAAGATTCTCGTTACGCGCGCACAGGTGTGTGCATTGAGTGCGACGCTGGATTGTGTCATACATATTTTCACGTGACCTGGTAATAAATTACTGAAAGCACGCGTCGATATTCTTCACGTTGTTCGCAACAGGAAGAGAGAGTGTTCATGCTGCGGAGATGAAACGTCATACGAAATACCTCATTTTTGCAGCGCTCAAAGGGAAGGTCTTCTGTCCGAGGCGCACAGTGAAGAAGTCGATCAAGCCGACCCGTTCTATGCTCACTGCAAGTTGCACTCTGACAAATCTCTCGTTCGCAGGCGTAGACGTAACTTTTTAGCTTTCCAACTGCGCGTACAGCAGCGGCAGCAGATGCTGAAACAGCCTAATCATTTAGACACAGATGAACATCGTAGGATTGAAAGGAAATTGGGCAAGCACAGGCATAAATATCTGGCACACAAGGCGTCGCGCCAACCGCCATGGGGTGAATTGATCTTTCTCCTTAAGCACACGTTGGCACTAAGACATCTAATAATAAACTTATAATACTACGTTAATTGTCCAGTACCAACGCAGAAGATGCCACGTTTATTGACTACGTCCGCATCCGCTTGTCGCCAACTAGCGAGGAAGGCCGAATTGATGGACGTGGACACGACCGCGTTGGAGGCACAAGAGGCTCAGGTGGTGGCGTTAGTCGACGTTAGGAAGAAATGGCATATCGCTCCCGCGTTCAGCGTGGAGTTCATTGGCTATTACTTGGACCGTAACTTGCGTATGACTTCTATGAAGAGACGACTGCAGGAGCTTCTTGATATAAACTCGCAATTGTTGAACGAAGAGCAGAAAATAGAGCGAAAGTACAAGGAAGTGAAGAAAGACAAGGAAGAGCGGGTCCGAATGAATACGACGTTGAAGGAGAAGATCGAGATGTATCATCTGGTACTTAAAAACGCCGGTTACACGAAGCCTCTGCCGCTGCTGGCCGATCTGCTGACTAAGCCAAAAATAGCACCTACACTTGGTCAGTCGCATCTCCAACACTACGCGCGACACTAAACGCTTAATGAATTACTCAACAATGCGACGAATACACGATGTATTTTCAACAGGTACAGGGACAGGAGGTACACTAGGTGTGCCTACGGCAGCAGCCTTGAAAATGGGAGTCGGGTTCCCGCTGACCATGGGTAAAGGGGCCGAGGGTGCACGCGAGGGTAGAGTGTTGAGCAGCCAAGCGCAGGAGCAAAATCACAAAGGCGAGCTGACGTTGCGACACCAATGCGGCATTTGCAGACGATCGACCAACCAACATCTTCTCGCCAAGTGCGACACGTGTCACTTGCATTACCATTTGTCTTGTTTGAGCCCGCCTCTGTCACGGATGCCCAAGAAAACAAGACTGATGGGATGGTAGGTATACGAAAGTACAAATATTAAACTCGACACTTCGAATGCTAGTTTCGATGCTTCAGACGTGGTCAGTGAAGAGATGATTTTCATGCCATTGCGTATCGCAATTCACAGGCAATGTTCAGAGTGCGATAAAGAATCCTCGGGCTCGGAGGTCGAGCATGTAGACACATCGGCACCGCGCAAACTAAGGCATTGTAAGGATGACGCTAACATGACACTCACACCACCACAGGAAACGTCAGCAACGCTGAGCACACCTACGACATCGAAGAATTCGTCCAGCAGCGTGACAAACGTCGCTGTTCCTGACACGCCTACGACGCCAAAAGTATTCATTTTGTTATCCGAAACAAAACGAAAACACACCATTGAGATAGATTGTATTAATGTACGCAACAATGTATCGTATCTATAGCTAACTATTAAACCGATGGGGCCGCAACCGACAGCCGTAGAGCCCGCGCAGGCAGCTGAGTCGGCGTACAACCAGCAATCCGTTAATAATATTACCATAACGAGAGCAGGTTCGCCGGAATACATGGTAGCTTCAGCAGACGGGACGGAGTCCGTCTCGCAGAGAAGCGGGAAGAAAAGGAGGAGGTTCGTACAAAAAGGGTCCGAGTTTATACTCTCCGTTGAATTAAAATGCAAAATGTGTACGAATTTATACTTTATCAGGGAAAAGCACAAGAGGTACACCCCCGATCCGATAACCGGGGTTAAACAGAGGAAAAGGAAGCACAAGAGAAAAAGTTTGGATATAGAAAATCCAGAAGTTCAAAGCCAACCGGAAGTTCATAGGAGGATTACAATCAAGGTATCCATTCTCTCTCTCTCTCTCTCTTTCTCTCTGGTTTTATTGCGTTTATACGATAGAGACTAAATCGTATCGTGTCGAATGTAGATAAAACCAATTCCACGACCGGAAGGCGAGGTTGCCTCAGAATCTAGCCCGCAAATGTTCGTGGCCACATCCACGAGCACCGAAATCACACTGCCGCCGCCACCTCTGCCGCCCCCGGCTGCGAGCGTGCCGCCGCCGCCACCACCACCGCCTGTGAACGCATCTGTGAATAGCAGTAGTCGTTGGCCGACAGGAACTGCAAAGAGAGGGAAGGACACGGACCTTTTGACGCAATGCAAAGTCTGTGATACTCCCGGCACCAACCAGAATCTCGTTATGTGAGTATCCCAAAACCGTGGACTACGACGCGCTGAAAGATGGCTCGTGTCTCGAAGGATTCTTCCATATCACGATCGTTAATCGTTTCTGTTTTAGGTGTGACGAATGTAAGAAATGCTATCACTTCACATGTTTAGATCCTCCTGTGAAAAAGTCTCCGAAACGGAGAGGCTATTCGTGGCACTGTGCCGACTGCGACCCTAGTGTAAGTTCATAAATTTTTACTGCTCGTAAACGCCAATATTTTTCAATACTAGATTAATGTACTTTCTATTTTGTCTATATATCGATATACTATTTGATATTGAAGTCCATAATAAATAGCCGTGCGATACGGAGAGCCATTTTTCTATATAGGCATTCCTTTGTCTTTCTATCTAGCGTAGTTCTCGAGAGTGCGCACGACATTGGTGGTATTTGTAAGACAACGATATTTTCTAAGACACCAAACGATAAATCAGGACAATTACACTCACACCGTCAACAAATGCTTGTAGACAATAAGCACGTATATGACAAAATAAAAAGTACTTTGATCTGAGATATGTATACGAGTAACTGACTGATTTGATTTTCATACTGAAGTGAATGAAGTAGGAGAATATATGACGTCGTCTTATGAGAACGCCAAAAATTAATATTCTAGAGAAATGGGAACGGAGTTTTTTTTTTCTTTTTGTCTGATGCACAAATTAAATTATATTTATCTTTATTTTTTTATGTGATTCTCCTCTCTGCAGCAGACTAGAAAATAATACGTTGAAATGTTACGGAGCCCTTTTGGGTCTTTGAATTTAATATTGTCAATGGGGATATATATCTCACCGGCACATTAAGTGTAATAAAAGAAAGAGATTTTCATGGTAAAAATCTTTCTTTCATTTCAGGCCTCTGAATCTGAGACTTAATATCAACAATTTTCTATCTGCAGCTACAATTCTGCGTTTATATAAATAAGACATTCACACATACATACACACATACATACACAAACAGTGTCGTTACGTTTTTCTTTTTATAATATATATATAATTATATTT